GTTGGGTTTTTCGAGGGGTATCATCAGCTATGGTCCTTGGAGGTAGTGTGCGGGCTTGTCGGGCTGCTAATGCTCTTCGAGCGGAATTACAGGCCTTTTGTGGGCTCTTCGAGCTGTTGTTCGCCAGGATTATTTTCAGCTTCTCATCTACACGGACTGCGCTCTTTTGGTCTCCATGTTTCAGCATCCTCGCTCTATTGATATTCCTGTTTGTGGTTATTTCAGCAGATCATTCCCCGTTTTTCTGCCTGTCGGCTATGTAAGGTACCTCGAACTTGGGTTGCTCCTGCACATTGGTTGGTTGTCCGTGCTCGTGACCGCCACTTCCTTTGTTGGTCTTTTTAGTTAGCGTTTGTTGTTTCGTTTGTTTGTTTTGTTAGTGGCCTTTGTCCAAAAAAAAATAATGAAGTATGTCTCCAAAAAATCTTAAATCCATCCTCATCCAAGTACTGTGAACTAATCAGCTAATAATAAGATATATTCCAAATAAGATATTTTTTAACTTAAAAGGACCAATGAAGGTGGGACATGTAAGATGTAACCATAGACTTATGTACTAGTTGTAGCAGCCGTAGTTGAATGGCGATGAATGATATTAATTGATAACAACAGTCGAATAATATTTTCGTAGGATACTTTTCTAGTACAAAATTAAAAGTGTTCACTCTCTTTGATCTTAATTCGTCACTTTGTGTAATATTTCGTTATACTAGTACAGTTGTACATTTTTGTTGAAATATGTCGTGAATTAGTGACGAAATACATACATAATTCAATCATGTGCTTCATCTGTCAATCATTCTAAAATTGTTGATCTATTGTTTGGAATCTGTTGTGTTTATTTATAATATGTATTTCCTCAAGAGCAATAAAAATTTTCATCTAGCTTGCCTATGGATGCAACGTAATTAATGCATTATTGATGAAACACGACAAATTATGTTCTTTGTTTGTCGATTTCATTATCTTTCTCACATCTATTGTTACAATCTTGTATCTTCTATCTCTTTTGTTTAATCTACCAAAGATTTTACAGTGGACTTTTGAACTTTCCTATAATCTAGTGGTAAAGGAAATCTCAAAGGCACTTTGAAGTAAGGATTTATTCCTTTAACTTAATTACATACCCTTTAACCCAACTCCACCTAGTAAGTTAAAATGAGTATATCGTGTGAGATTTCATTACAATATGTTTTTTTTTTTCCTTCCATTAATTAAGATAATTATCAATGTACCTTTGAAAATTATTCGAAGAATGATAACGGTTTAATTCGAATACTCTTTTGATGCATAATATAAGCAATGTCGATATGTTGTCAGCTGCTTTACAGAGAGGTCGGGTAATAGAGCAGTATACCATGTTGCTTCCCTGAGTCATTTTATGCAAGCTTACAAGATATTGATCCGTTTATAAATAGTAAAGTTTCTTTTCTATTTATATTGATAAGTTAGGG